CACCTGAAAGAGGTCGATTCGGCAAATGTAAAAGAAAGGCGTGTGGGGAAGGGTAGATGTGCTGCACCGAACAGAATGATGAGTGGCCGAGAGCGCCGACTCGAGCCACTGGTGTCTCATTCAAGAACTTGCCACCATGGCGAGAGTTCGATCAAGTACGCGGACGAAGCAATCAGCAGTTGCCAGCACGATGGACGTGCGTGCCATCGACTTCAAGCATCTCTGGCGGCAGCTACGCGCAGTGGGATGGACGTCGAAGAGACCTTCCGGTGGACTTGCGAAGGAGTGGACGTACACGTCGCCGGACGGGAAGTCGCTTACTGGTGCGAAGCTCGTATATGGTTATGTGCTTCATTTGTCTAATTTATATCACTTGTCTAGGGGAGGATGCTGTGGTGGCTTATGCAATCGAGACTGGGCTTATTGCTGAAGAGAGTGGCGACAGGAGAGGGAGGTGGGCAGTGATGAGGTCGTGCCGGTGGACGTTACAGTGACGGCGTCACAGATAGACACATCCATCGCGCTGTCGGCCAACACCTTATCGGCGATGTTTGGCACGGACAGTGACCCCCAGTCGGAAGCGGAGGATCAGTTGGAGCAGTCGGATCGAGAGATGGTCGTGGGGGCGTTCCAGCGGCTCCTGTCAGGTGCCGAGTCGAGCAATTCGGACGACAACGATGATGGTTGCGCCAGTGTGGAGGAGGAAGGCGCAAGTGTGTGTGGAGGTGAGACTGTGGAGGATGACTGCCGTGTGGCACTGCCGGTAACCGACGTGAATGTTATGGGCGATGGAGATCTTTCGGATGAATACGAGGCCGTCGATTCTAGTTGCAGCGACAGCAGCGACAATAGTGGCGACGATATCATCGTGAGGCGTGAGTACCCCGACGACACACTTGAGGACGATGAAGACGTTGCTCTGATGGACGACGCATTTGTCGAGGCGTTAGGTGGCAAATTAACACTGGAGTCAATCGACAAGGCCGCACTCCGGAGCTTTGAATGGAGTCCTCCTTCGTCCATCTTCGAAGCTGACAGTGGAGGGTACCCTCGCCTGTCTACGGACGTCGCCGTACCGATCAGGGGGCGGAGTTGATGTACATGATCAACTTCGCCTGCAGTCCTATTCAATCCAAACGGCTTTCCGTTTCAGGAAGTATTACAAGTCACTGTTCATGGGTTTCATGGACATGGCACTCGTCAATGCGTATCTCACACACAAGGAAACATGCCGGATCAAGAGGCTGGTACCAAAAGATCGTGGAGAATGGTATCTTCTACTTCATAAGCAATTGATGCAGCTCAAAGCCGACGACTTCATTGAAGCTACTGCTCCTACACCTTCTCCTATGGCTCGCTCTCGCAAGCGCCGCCGACTAGACGGTCACAAACACATCCAGTTCGACGACTGGGTCACCGTTTCAGGCACCCAAAAGCGCCGGCAACGCTCTTGCAAAGTATGCGCTCTTCTACGAGGCGATCGAAAAAAATCCTTTCAAACGACCTATTATTGTGAGGATTGCTCACACGCAGACGCAAAGTGCTTCCTCTGCCCCAAGTCGCGCCATAGCTACGGAGGCGTGCGCAAAACATGCTATCAGATTTGGCACGAAGACTTTGACAGTGGGGCTTCCATCCCAGCATCGCTCGGCAAGCGAGTCGTCTTGCGACGATCAGCCAAGGCTGGTACTCGAAAACCAACTCGGCGTGAGCTGCTCTGTCAACAAGACGGCGAGGCCGACAATGAAGAGGATCAGCCAGCTCAGCAATCGGCAATCGTTTGAATGCGTTTGGACAGCACTTAGTTTATGTAAATGTAGCTCTTTCTCTGTTGTACGAGGATCTCTACGGATGTGTAAATAGGCATCTGCTTCGACAAAAACAATACTTGAACGTCGTAAGTTATTGCTTTTCGTGATACGACGTGCTCATAATGTCGTAGCTCATACGACGTAGCTCAGAATATCCTCTGACAGTTTATAGCGGGAATCCAGTGTGGAAAAGACACATCCATACAAATAAATACACTAAAATAAAGTCGTAACTTACGACGTAAAATAGGCGGTTCCAACACGGATCTTCTGGTAACTGAGGGGTTAAGAGACATCGCCGACTTTGTGATCATTTTACCCAGGCGGCAAGACAGCGCATTTCAAACAGATGAAGGAACAAAGCGGTGTTGCGTTTGAGGACATGCTGATCAATGACGATGATCTGGAGAACGTACACGACGTTAGTGCACTGGGAGTGGTGAGTTCGCACTGTCTCGATGGCCTCTTGGCTTCAAGCCATGGAGGTTTACTATGTAGATGATTAAAACTACCTCAGTGTTGCTGAAGGACATGTCCTACTACATCTAATACACACTTTCTTGGGGGATACAGAAACACACCATTCACGAATGCTTAGATACCGACGGTGCTTGTACCTGTATTTGTGTGTGTTAATTATAAACTTCACTATCGCATTTTTGGCCATGAAGAAAAAAAGTAAAATGAATAGAAGTTCCTTCGAAGTACCGGTATATTCATCGATATATGCATTCGACCGTGAGAGGTTTTAAAGGAGGACAGCATCCTCCTTTTGAATTTCCTTTAGCTGTTTCGTATACCTCTCGAGCTCAACCTGAACAACGTCTTCCGTTTCCTGTCCTAATCCCGCTTCTCGAAGGCTCTTCAGTGTCTTGCACGCGTCCTTGATCATTTTCATCAACTTTGCACGCTGTTCGGTTTTACTTATCTCGTCACAGCTCTTCTCAGAGGTAGCCACAGTGCTAGCGTCTTTACTCTCAGCAACCCTTGGCGTCGACAAACTCAAGTTCTGTGTCAACTTCCCATTGACACTACCCAGCAGATGCGGCTTGACGTTGAGCCAGCACGCCAAATAATACACGTCCGCTCGACTTTGACAAAAAGTGGAAAATTCGGCATCCGGGTCTCCACTTATCTCAAATCGAGCTACTAAACTCGTGTACGCGGCACACAATTCTCGCCACATTTTCCACAATTTCTCACTAGAATGGTACACCGGCGTCCCTAATTGAAGCCCTTCAAAGAGGTGACCTTGGAATACTACTCGACTGTACTCCGCTAAGGGACTTATAAATTGAGTCCGCACTTTCTCCCAAAAAGGGTTATTCCCTGTCGGTTGGTCCGAGGTTAACGCTGTCTGTGAGGACTCAGCGTTCATCGCGTCCACAGATGCCGACAGCTCTTCCCCGAAAATCACATTAACAAGTCTCAAATTGCAATTCTTGGTCCTCCGAGTCTTGGTCACCGCCACTTTCTCGCGAGTCAAAATTTGGGATAACAGGTCAGCGTACCCCGCTTTATTGTTGTAGACGGCGTAATCTTTGCTACGCACAGGGACTCCCAGCAGTCCAATGAAGCTTCGCAACTCCTTGCATGTGCACTGCATGATGGCCGTCTGTAGCTCCTCGCTCTTACCCTCGGCGCTGAGACGCTGCAGGCGCTGGAGCTTGCTCACTCCAGCTGTAAGACTTGCCATCTTCGCAGCAAGTATAATACCCACAATTTTAAGTAAAAAATAAACACATAATTTAGCGTGGTTTACACTAAATTGTATCTTTCGCGGCTGTTCAAGATCTATAGAAAGATATGCTTGTCATTTGAGTTTTGTGTCATTCGCGATTAAGTTCTGCAGAAGCCAAGAGCACGTCGTATTAGATCTAAATGAAGCTTTTGTGCAGCTTTGCATCGTTGCTCTTGCTGGTCGGGGCTCATCCGGTATCGTCGTTTACTATCGACGCTAGTGCCGAAGTCGCCGCTGCGAGACCCGACGTTGAGGTGGAATTTGATCTGGATCCAGAGTCCAAAGCGCAATGGGGCGCGTACACTGGATCCCGCTCAGATCGTCCGGTTCTTGAAGGTCGATCAGGATCTATGGGCGTGAATATCCGTCCACTGGGGAGTGCCAAGGTCAAACCGGTAGCTCCCATGTCGACGGTACTGCAGCCCGAAGGTTTCAACTTTGGACGTGGCACGGCATACATAACAGCGGAGAACGTGGAAGTAGGCAGTGAATTATTATCATTGCCAATGAGTCAGGTGATGAGTGTGGAATCGGCTGCAAGAGGGAGAGTGGGGCTACTATTGGAGGTGAATCCAGACCTACCTTCAGCCATCGCATTGGGTCTACACTTACTGGAAGAACGAGCTCTAGGAGCGGCTTCCAACTTCTCCGACTTTGTAGCTACATTACCAACGATCGAAGCAATCAACAGCACCTTGTTCTACTCGGAAGACGAGATGAACGAGCTGGAAGGGTCGCAGCTACAACGATTCACACTCGGTAGAGCTCAAGCCGTCGAAGCTTTCTACGACGCTCTCGTGCAACCCGTCACATCACGCGAAGCTGTAGACCCACCCATCTTCCATAAGAGCGAGTTTACACTGGATAAATTCCGTTGGGCGATGGGTGTTGTGTGGTCGTCCACCTTCCAGTTCGGAGAAAACGAGGACGACGTTATTCTAGCTCCTGTTCTAAATACTATTGGAATCTGTACCGATCTAAATCAAGAAGGCAACGAGGCGTGTCCTGAGACAAGCATTAAAGTGGATACCGACACCCAGAGACTAACTGTGTACGCTTCAGTGGCTTATTCAAAGAGCCAAGAAGTGCGTCTCTCAATGCCTGGCAAGTCCTCGACCCAGCTCATGCTAAGCCACGGCTTTGCGAGAGCTCGAGCTTCCAAGCTGGACAAACTGGACCTCACTGTAACATTGGACCCCAGCGATACTTTAGCTCCTTTAAAAAACTACTTGCTGCAGACACAACTGAACGAAAGCATCAATGCGACGTATGAGTTCTTCTATGGCAGCTCCAAGATCGACGAGTACGTCTCGACTTCTTTGAGAATGAAACTCTTGTCTGGTGGCGAGCTCGCGCGGTACAAAGAGCTGCTAACTCCAGCAGAGGGGGAGGAGCATCGACCCATTGTGAGTCTACGGAATGAGTTCGTCTTCACGCGTGCTGTCATCTCCACGTGCACGACGCTGTTAAAACAGTACCCGACAAGCATCGAACAAGACCAAGAAAATCTCGCTAAATTATCCGATAAAGACGACGTCGAAAGTGTCCGCATAGCGCATGTCCAACGCATCTTGATCATGGAGAAGCAGATTCTAAACGAGACGATGGAACTTGCGTTGGACCAGTGGCAGAGCCTCCTCTACTCGTCACACCCAAATCTACTCGAAGTCTAAATTCTAGAATCTAGAAGGTTGACAACACTAAATTTGGTCCAAAATGCCGTGCCTTAATTGTAAGCTTCGTATTCTCCAGAACGCGCTAACGACAGCGCTTCAACTTGCAGCATGGAGTGTCCACGGGCATTGCGAGCCATGAATCCAACTCCAATCAGCTCGTCTCCTTTGCGAAGTAGACTCACTACCTTTAGAAACGTTTCTAAGGACCAATTCATCGTCTCTCGCTGTAAGAAAACCTGCAGCGGTCTGTCGTAGCCAGTGCCCGTCAACTCGAGCGAGAGGAAGGCCATACCCTTGCTAAAGCGACGAACACGTGTGATTTCACCCGTAACTTGCACGTACACTTTCCTCGAAGCCTGTTCTTGCTCTTGTGCAGCTTTCACTCTGGCCTCCGGACTGTCGATAGCCACGAGGCTGTTTCCAAGCTTCGATTGTCGCTCTTTAAGTTTCTTCTCGAGCTCTAACCAGGTCTCCAGGGCAGCATTTCGACCGATGTTGTTGCTGTCTTTAGTATTAACAACAGTCGGCTGTACAACGGCCAGCTTTTGGAGCTTGTAGCAGCAGTATACGTATACTGGTGTACCAGGAGACTGCTCCTTGGACGCGATGAGAGACTGCACATCGAGCTCCAGATCTTCGTGTGCTAAGAACTCCTTCTTACGCCATTGTTTACGCGATGTGAGACACACAAGCGACGCTTTCCGACTGGTAGATTCAGGACAACTACCCGACACAAACTGGTCCAAGGTGCGACATACAAGGCGGAAAAAAGACGGCTTCTTCTTCGCACGACCACGGAACCCTCGGAAGATGAAGCCTGCATCTAAAACGCAAGCTAGCGAAGGAGTCAGGTGCCCATCGTTCTCGAATTTCACCGTGATCTTCTCCTCTTCGTCGCTGGTTAAAACGACAGTAGACTGGAGAATGTAGTGGCCACAAGGCTCAAATTTAATGCTCTCGTCTTCCGTTCCAGGGTCACTAGCCACGTCGATTATGCACTTGTGGAGCTGCAGTTTCAGCGTCTTGGTGCCTTGTTTATCGTTCATACTGAACGATAAATTGTCAGCTATCGACAACGTGTAGACGTGTTTGTATCCATCTCGAAGTAGCAGACGCACCGCCAAGCGACGGGGATGCCAATCAAGCGCGAGTACATGAGTATCCACGTCAAGATGAGACGCAACGGCGGACGGCAAACTGCTGCCAAAAGTCTGCTCCTCCGCCGTGATCTCTTCTGGATTCATAGAAGAGATATCGCGATCGAGTTCTTGTAATGTATCGCTAATAAAATCGAGCACTCCATCACGTTTCTTTAAGCTCTCCGACTGCCTCTCGGTGTTGTTGGTTGATCCACCTACAATGCCACTGATGTCCACGATGTCCTTGCGTACACAGCCCTTCATTACACTCGACGTTAGCGAGAAATCAGCATGAGAGACATCCACATTTCTAGAGTTATCGCCAACCCACAAACGGATCTAAATCACAATAAAAAAGGAAAAGATGAGAGTGGTCCTATAACTCACAAGAAATAAATAATAAGCCTACCTCTCGATGATCAGATAGCACACTGAAGTCGTCGTAGACGAGATCTGGTCCACGTCCGAAGAGCATTTCTTGCTGGCCGTACCAGTTGCAGCACGGTAGTGTGACCACACCACACACCTGCTCGGCCTGGACGGCACTCAGCGCCTGATCCAGCGTCACATGGGCGTGTACGAGTACCACAATCGCTCGTCTCAAGGTAATTCGAATATTCTCAATCTTGTTGCGCACAGTCACTAAATTCGACACGTCCGCCCAGCCCTTTGAACGCTGTAAAAACAAAATATTAGCAATGTAATAGAAAATATTTAAACTGTATTTCTTCAATAACTCACCTCGCTTGTACCCTTCTCCATTGCTGGGTCCACACTATAACACTTCCATCCTCGCATCCGGAACGCAAACATCGCAGCCGTGCGTGCTGTTCACACAATAATAAAAAAATATTATTACAAAAAAAATGTTTTTAGGGACGCTTACTACTCACGAGTATTGCCGTCTCCTACGACAACAATTCCATCGTGTTTTCCATTGATCTTGAGACTTTCTTCTTCGCTCTTGGGCTCAATGTATCGTCGCACAGCATTGAACAGCGCCATGCTCTGGAACGAAAAATACAGACCTCATTACTGATTTATGTAGCGCTAATGTGTACGTGAAGAACGCGGAGTTTACCTCTGTCACCTCCTTTGCGTCTGGGAACAAGCCGTGTTGCAGTAGGGCAGGAGCGCAATGCAGTTTGCCAACGAACTCATTGAGATAGCGCAGCGACACGGGAGGTGTAGAGGGTGACGCTGTTGCAGCCACTTCAGTGCTGTTCGAGGAAGAAACTGGCAAAGTTTCGGAGCTTCCAGACACATGGGGCGGGCGGCACAGTTGCCACCGCGATACGTGCCGTGTCGACGCCATACTGACCAATTGTAAAACTAAAATGTGAAATGCACTATACAGTAAAGTGCCAATTAAAAAGAAGTGTGCAAATTCGATATTTACAGGTGTGCAAATTCGAAATTTACACTCGTATGTTTTTGCGCATGAGAGCTCCTACTTAGATGAGGCCAAACTACTTTGGAAAACGCGTTAGTCAACTCGAACATTGAGTAATACCAGTTTGGATATCCGAAATAAAAAGGAGAAGTTCTTTTAATAAACGGCTATGATAACTTAGCAGTACTTTCACAGCGAAGCTGTGCGCGCGCTCGAGCTTATTCAGTTTCACAGCAGCGTCGCTGGCGTTCTTATGATCTTATTTCATAAGAACAAGCACTTTGTTGCGCCTTCCGCACCACTCCGTTCGAAGTGATTGTAGCTGGTCTGAGTCCATTGTTGATGTAACGGAGTACGTAACCCTAGGTGTACCCTGGTTACATGAAGTGTGACACTATATATCCCGGAGTATGACGTGTCAATGACACGTCATACTCCGGGATATTTGGTACAAGGTACCAAGGTCGTTCAAAGCCAACCATTGGTTAGATGACATTGCATTTCTATAGGGAACTAATAGTTTGTATTAAACCCAAACTTAACCTACCTATAAATATACTCAGTATACAATCTACCTTATTTAGGTCACTTCGCTCTCTTTAATTAACCCCTCTAATTCACGATTTAGACCAGGGGAAGGTAGCAGCATGCAGAAGCGAAGAGTTCGGCGACTTACATGAGGACAACTGTGGACCAGACTCAAGAAGCTAGGGTGGCAATTTGAGCGACCAAAGGGGCTAGCTACCGAGAATCGCTACTTTACACCTGATGGATGGAAGAAAAGGCCAAACGCAACACACCTTGTCGACTATTTCGACGGAGCTGACGAAGTATGGCAACACGTGCCAGTTGATGGTACGAATCATCTCATTTTGATTTTGTTATATTGTTATTAACTCATATCACAGTTATCTATGACATGCCGCCTGCCAAACGACACGCCACTACGAGCTCCCCTCTATCAATTCCACTGTGCCCCCGAGCCGCCAGTCAACTCTCCCGTGATTCCGCCTGCCCAGTCGCCTGCGAAAAAGCCTGCCCAGTCGCCTGCGAAAACGCCTGCCAAGTCGCCTGCGACAACACCTGCCAAGTCGCCTGCGAAGACACCTGCCAAAGCACCTGCCAAGTCACCTCGGAAGACGCCTATAAAGTCAGCTGAAAAGACGTCTGCCAAGTCACCCACCAATACGCCAGCCAAGTCGCAGGCTAAGTCCCCCGCCCAAGCTCCTGCTAAGGGCCAGACGCCAAGAAAGAAACGTGCGCGTAAAGAGGTCGCTGCGTCTCCTATACCGTCACTACGTCCACTACGGTCGTGTACTGTTCGCGCACCAGAAGTGGACATATCTGTTGGTGATGACCGTTTAAGCTCTGGTGACGAGGACGACTTCCAAGTCGATGAAGGCGATGAGTCCGACATTGAAGGTACAAGTGAAACTTCTGCTGGTGAAGAGGAAGAAAATACCAGCGATGAGGAAGATGCAGTCGATCTCTCAGCGGGAACTCCATTCGACCAGATGAGCAAGGACCAGCTGAGCGAACACGCGAAAACAGGCTGGACGACCTACTTCGAAGATTCATGTGAGTGCTTTCGTGTACTATACAGGATAACGAGTGTCCTTTGCTTCGGCTATCCTGTACTCGACACTAATACCCATATATCGTTGCTATATAGGCGCTTCCCTTCAGCTGCCATCGGCAGAGCTTACACGCTGCTCCGCCACACCTACGGAGTTGGCTACTGCACTGGGGAGTAACTTGGAAGGATTGTTTTTCCTGTTCCTGCCTAAATCGATGTGGATGTCTATCGCTACGGAATCAAATCGGTACCAGCTTCAGTATCGAACGCAGGCAGCGGACGAAATAATGGCACGACAGCGACAGCTCAAGCTGAGGCGACCTGAGTACAAGATGAAAACTGTACAGCAAGTCCAGGCTGAGCAACGATCGTTCGAGCCAATACAAGCGCATGAGCTGGTACATTTCATTGGTTTACTGTGTGCCCGAACCCTTTGCCCGCACCGTGAGAAGCTGTCGAAGCATTGGGCGGTGGATGTACAAGGCGCGGTTCCTAAAGGCACATTTGGGCGATACATGTCGCGAAAGCGACTCGAAGAGATCGTACGATTCTTGCATTTTAGCGACAACAGTCATCCTGACGCTGTCAAGTTCAAGACGGGGAAGATTAAGCCTGTCGCGGACACGATCAACGCAACGTTCAAGCTGGGGATGACAGTAGGGCAACGAATCGCCTTCGACGAAGGAATGAAACCGATGAGTAGCAAGTTCAACCCCATGCGGCAGTTTCTTCGAGGAAAACCTCACCCATGGGGTACTAAGTGCTTCTTGACTTGCGATGCAGAGAGCGGGTACTGCTACAGGTAATGGATCACTTAGTCTACAGAACATTGTATTATCCAGGTACTAAGTAATTATGCTTGTGTCTTATTCTGTATAGGGTCGAGATATACCAAGGAAAGCTCAACAGTGACTGTGTGGACCTGAACCAAGGCCCCAACGCTGTGATCCGTAATGTTGAAGAGGTGCTGGAAGGACTACCAAGGAAGCGTCTGATTATCACCGACCGTTTCTACTCAAGTGTGCTGCTGTCGTCTATCCTTCTACAACGTGGACTCTACCATGTCGGCACCATTCAAACGAATCGGCGAGGCTACTGCAAAGACATTCCGTACAAGCAAGCTAAACGACCAAAGACGATGGCGAGAGGGGTATACCGGATTGCACAGTCCAAGACTGAGCCGAATTTGATTGCAGTGTCATGGATGGACAACCGTCCTGTACACTTCATTGCTACGGGGTGTAGTACCCGACCGACAACCCTGTCAAGACGCGCAGGTGCTGAAGTAGTTGACGTGCCAGCTCCTCAACTCGTGAAAGACTATCAAGATGGCATGGGAGGAGCAACTGCGCTTGCAAAGATACTCGATTCAGGTATTACTTGCTCTTTTCTTATCCTGTATTATACATGACAATATAAACTAACGGTCGAATGTTTTCCTGTATACTACAGAGAGCGATGAAAATGAAGAAATATTACCACACAATCTTTCTTGAGTTAGTTGACATGGCGCTTACCAACGCATACATCATCTATCGACGTATTTAAGGCAATCTTGCTCCCGGTAAAGCACCCTCGACACATGCTGAGTTTCAGCGGCTGATGCAGACTGCACTACTCAACATTGGACCGGCTGACTTTGCAGGAGACCTGTCAGTTGAAGCATTGGCAGACACTCCGGTTTCCCGCTCGTCAGCTCCGCGCTACACGCTACCAGCACAGCATATGACTAAACAAGGGAGCGTATTTCGCACAACACGTGGAAAGAACGGGACCTACTCACAGAAGTGCCGTCAATACGGCTGCAAAGTGTGCTCGTTGCTGCGTCCGGGCAAGAACCCGTGGGAAACCACGTTTTACTGTGTGGAGTGCTCTGAAGTGAGGATGCGGAGCGTGGATGACGATAACGCCGTTGGAAGAGGGAAGGTGTATCTATGCCAAAAGGTGCGGCAACATGATCCTAGTGGACCTACAAACTCGGCCACCTGCAGCCAGATATGGCACGATCTATGGCGGGGAGGAGCGACAATTCCTCCCGGTCACAAGGCTATTTGGCTGCGTGCTCCTACTAGAGCAGGTGCGCAACGTATAGACGACGAGCTGGAAGGTGACAGTTGTTGCGATGACGGTTCCAGCGTAGGGTCGGGAAATTCACGAAGCACAGCGAGCGCTACGAATGCAGGACGTTCTGCAGAGAATATTTGTGAAGTAGTACAGACAGCAGTGATCTAATCAATCCTATGAATAATCAAATATGGGATGAATGCAAAAACTTTGTGAGTGATGGTTTTTGCTGATATTTAGAAATTTCCCTGTAGCCGATTTGTGCGATACAGGATATTGTGCCATATGTTAGAACCACCAATTTAACTCTTACCCTGTACTGCACAGAGTAGATAACTGACAGAGATTGAGATCTTAGAAAAACTCCGCAAATAATAAACCCAAGTCATTTTCTTACCCTGTAGAATACAGGGTAATTTCCGCCCGAAAACGCGGGGCTAGAGGGGTTAAAGAGGGGACCTGTGAACTGCCGTTCACTGAGAGTTTGTATACTCTCGGAAGATAACTTCCTCTAGCGCAAGGTGCTGTGTGACCCCGTCACACTTGGTAGCACTCGTAGTCAATCCACGCCACCGCGGGTAGACTACCTGAACCTCTCCGAAGTTCGTTGCCATGGATAGGAACGACTTCTCCCATATGAACGACTCTCAGTTCGAGTCAGTTCGGAAGATGGCAGGCATCTTCGGGATGGAGGCCCTGCAGAGCCTGGTGGTATCAACACCGGCTGAGCAGCTCGAGCGCGGCAATGCATTCGACGCGTACGAGCAGGGCCTCATCGCGCATGTGCGAAAGAACCTGCAGGCTCCGGCGGCGGAAGCAAATTCGCCTCACCCGAAGCCAATACGGCTGAAGGTTAAGCCGTATGAAGGGAAGGAAGGCGAGAACCTTCACTTCTGGGTCCGAGAAGTAGAGCTCGCGATGGACGCGGCTCTGATCTCGACCGAGTAACTGCGTGTTGCTTTTGCACTCTCCAACCTTAGCGGCCGTGCTAAGCGTTGGGTGTACACACGGGAAGCAGCATCCCCTGGATGTTTCACATCCTGGGCTCAGCTGTGCGAACAGCTCCGAGCCGCGTTCCTCCCGGCGAACTACGAGTACCGCCAGCGTTCGCGCTTCCTCGCGTGTAAACAAGGAAGGCGCGAACTGCACGAGTATGTGCAAGAGATACGGGAGCTCACGGCATCCCTAGTGGGAAACCCACTCAACGAACACATCAAGATGACTGTGTTCATGGACGGCGTTCGAGTGGGCCCCGCACGCACTCAGCTGTTCCGGGTGCAGT